CGTGTGTATACAAATGCTTATCCTTTTTATAAAGCCGGCTGTATTACAGCACATGCATTAAACATGAGGAAGCTGGGCGGCGAGAGAGAGAAAGAGAGAGAGCTGGGAAATACCAGTGGAGGATCAGACCGGTCGTGGTCCTGGTCTGCCGGAACGCGACGCCCGCCGTTAATATCAAGGTTAACAGAGAATGCTTTGCGTGTTCCGCCGATGTCACCAGAGACTTATCGTACGTGGCTTGTCGCAGATGAAAAACGTGAGATTTGCATCCTCTAATGAGAGCTTTAGTATGCTGTAGTATACTGTTTATTATTCAGCGGGGTTTTCTTGCAGAGAAGTGAACGTTCAATCTTACTGGGGTGAAAGGTCACAGCAATGTTTTTTATGCCATGTGTGTGTGTTTTGTTTTATTTTTTTACATACATCACGCTGTAAAAACAGGTTTTTAAAAAATCTGACCTGATTAACGTGCTAGCAGCAGTCTGGTTTAAAAAAACAAAAAAAGACCTGGAGGTTATTTGTCATCGCCTCTCTGCTCCCATTAGGTTTAGTAGAGAATCTGCTCCTGGTAAGCGTGGAAAAGAGTGACAATATGCCATGCTTAATCCTGCTTTGATATTAAAAGGACAATGTTATGTGTTTTCCAGGCACATAGTGCCATTTTATAGCACAGTCAAGTAACTATATCACTTCCAGTTATTATGAAAATGCTACAAATATCAAATATGACTTAAAAGATATTTGACTTTGTAATTTAGCGCCTTGAAATTGGGCCTCTGTTTCTTTAAGAAGTTCCTGGTCTTTCTCAAGCTCCGCCTTCAGGAAGTCATTCCCACATGGCTCCTTTATTAACCCTTTAACAGCATTTCTACCAGCTGTTTGTTAGTTGCTGCTGGCTAGTCTGAAGGAGCTGAATGGATGAGCCCTGGGTTAGAGCTGCTCTGTGAGGTGGAAACTCGGAAACTGCATCTCTGAGGAGGAGCTTCGTCCTCGAAGGCGGAGCTAGATCCACCTGGGTGTTTTGCACAGCTGAATTGTTGCCATACAGATTTAAGGATGTCTCAAAAATTCATTAAAGAATTAAATCAACACTTCTCCTTGATGAGGGAATAACATTATGACAAGATGAGAAGCTCAGAAAGTCGATTTTACATAGTACTGGCTCTTTAACTAGTACAAAAGCACAGGAAAAAAATGCTGATGGATGATGTGGGTCAAGCAGATGACTGGGTGGAACAAGCTTTAATTAAGGCTTTCATGCATATAATAGCATCACATCTAATTTGATGGATTAAAAGTAAAATTCAAAAGGAATCATTCATGTCATCATTCTAGGACTGTACTGTTATCCATTTGAACTGTTGTTTCTTTCAGGATGGAAGGATTACAGAATAAAAAGCTTGAACCAAGTATAAAAACCAAGTTTCCAACGTTCCTCAAATGCATTCAGAGGGAAATTGTTATGGTTAGAGGAGACTGATTTGGCTAATTGGCTGCAGTGTCCAGAAATATGTTTGAAGGAGTTATAGTGAGGATATGAATAGAAAGCAAATTGATCCAACTGCTAATCATGGTGAAAGTATTATGCTACTCTTTTGAAAATGTGTGCTTTATGCTTATAGTGTGTAAAACCAACACTTTCAAACAAACCGCATCATCTCAGCCAATAAAAATGGATTAAAATCCTACAAGAATAATGCCAGAAACTTATTTGTTGCTACTATTAGTTCAAATACTAAAAATTATGAAAAATTATGCTCAGTTAATTGTTTTACTGTCACAAAATGTAACTGTAGGAAAGTATGTTTTGTTTAAGTCAGTTGACATTTTGTTTTTATTCTGTACATTTTGTATTAGTAAGAAATTACATATTGTTACAGGTTAACAGGAGTTTATTATTCAATATAATACACTGCTCAAAAAAATAAACGGAACACTCAAATATCTCATCCTAGATCTGAATGAATGAAATATTCTCATTGAATACTTTGTTCTGTACAAAGTTGAATGTGCTGACAACAAAATCACACAAAAATCATCAATGGAAATCAAATGTATTAATCAATGGAGGCCTGGATTTGGAGCCACACACAAAATTAAAGTGAAATGTTCCCTTTATTTTTTGAGCAGTATACGTCCATGGTCATTCATAAAAATAAATATTCAATTTTCAATTTTTGAGGTTGAAAATATATGGGTATGGATGTGGTTATTTTATTTTTTAGGAGTTTTAAGCAAACTGATTAAACTACTAACTAACCCCTTACATAAAAAATAACCTGCTACCCTGGTTGCCTCCAGCAGAGGGCGCTGTTGGCGCACTATTTTATGTTTTTGTTCTCTGTTCAACTGAATTCAGACGCTGCCGACGTAAAATGTGGATAAACGTCGGTACTTTTCCAAGGTGTGCCTCTCATACCGGTGTATCGGAAAGGTAAGAGAGTGACAGAAGCAGCACGGTGGAAAACATTTCCCAGCTGTTTGTTCGTCATTAGTATTTTTAACACTCAGTGAACTTGACAATTAAACGGGAGGTGACGTCTTTGTGGGAAATAGCGTTAATACTCAAGGAAGAAAGTTGTAAAGAAAAATAAAGAAGCATGACATCACTTTGGTGGCATTTCATATGTGAAATCACGCAGAAAGTTTTAAAGACTCACCTAGAAGAGTATTAAAATTCACACTATAGGAGATCTAATCTGTGTAAATACAGATAAAAACAAAAACCTGACACATCAGTGTTATTCAGTAAAAGTAACAGATTCCTGCTGTCTGAGATCCGTGACCTGACCACCAGGTTCTTGCCCCCCCACCCCCTTAGTGGAGGACTGAGCAGTAAACAAACAGGTGTCTGGTATCACTGAAAACACTGGTTTTGGTGGAAACTCTGTACTATCTACTGGCGGCAGCTGCTTGGTTTCATTTTGCGAAATGTCCAACATATTGGAGGTTCAGACTGAATGTTCCTGGACATTTGGTGATTTCACTCCTTTACCCCACTGAAACAAGAAAAAGATTAGCGAGAAAGCTAATTTGCTTAGCTAGCATCTCTAATGTAGAAATAAGTGTTATTCCAAATTAGGCTGTCCCCAATGCAACCTTGAAAATGTAGTTAAATAAAACATTTTTTTTTTTATTATTTGTTAGCTCACATGGTGGATTTGTTTTAGTTGTGTTGGCATAGCCGGTTTCATGATGTCAGGTGTTTCCCACATTTCAATGAATAATTACAGAATCCAAACATAAAACGCTTACAAACCAGTTTGCAAACTTAATTTGCTTCACTAGGTCAATATTTTCTTGAAAAAATTGACCTAGTGAAAAATTATAGGCAGCTGGAAAATGAGCATATTTGTAATATTTTGTAACATGATGTCCTCTACATTTATCTATGCATCTGGTAAAGATTTACATGAGACTCAGAATAAAGTAATCTCTTATCTCAGTGGCATTAAATCAAACTGAACAAAATCCTAACTTTATAGATCACAATAAAGGTTGGTTCAATAAACCAAGTTTATTTGGATCAGTAAAAAAATATCATTCAAATATAATATGTTACATAAATATATGTATGTATTCACTATCACTCAAGTCAGTATTTTTAGGAAATGTCCATTTTTTATTTGATACACTGGGGAATATAAGATACGTTAATATTAGTTGTTTTTGTTTACTTATTCCATCCAAAGTCACATCTTCTAATATTTATTATAAGATAAAGGTTGCTGAAGCTTCTTTTTTTAAATTAATGTTATTCAAATTCCTATTAAAAGTGAAAACTCTCATTGCTTTTGGTCAGTAAATGCATCACCGTCGCATTTTAGAGATCAGAGAAGAGCAGAAATTGGCAAGAAAACAAGATGGGTGCACCTCTGCATTTTGAAGCATCCCATAGCTTCCTGTTTTCCTGAAGTTTGAATATAATATGACTCAAAGACCCATTTCCTGTGGGCACTCTTCAAAATGGGAAAGACAAGAAAACTTGTGTGTTTATCTTCATATTTCAAGCTTCAGATGACTTTATTGTTTCCCCCTTCAGATTAAGTGCTTGTTGTGTCTGCTACATTACACTGAAGGCTCCTTCCAAAGTCCCTAAAAAAATAGAATTCCCTGCAATTATGCAATCTGTGTCACACACTAAATGACAGATTGCAGCAACCATCTTGGCTATGAACATGTGACTTTGTCTTGCTATGAATAGCTTTAGTCACTCTCAGGTATGCGACCGATATTCACGCCATCCACTTTGGCTTGTCAGATCTGGCAGCAGCAGAGCAAACCCAAAACAATGGCCACCGGTACCAGAACTGTGTCAACAACCTGTTGACAGGAAAAAATCCCAAAGGACAGGCAGCCGTGCTTCCTTCCTGCGCATGTGTTGTTGTAATCGGCGGTTTTTGACTCTGGCAGGATTTCCCTCAGGGAAGACAATGAAGGAAATCAAAGAAAAGTGAGTGTTGGAGATATAATTTGATCAGATTTGAAATAATAAGAGATTCTGCTCTGATTCTACAGGGAGAAAAGTTACTGACCCTGTGTGGATGATGACATATGGAAATATTAGAAGCAATAAAACACACAAGCGTTTTATTGCTGGTCATGTGCCAATTAGATCATTTTATCTCCTCATATTTTATTATCTTTTATCTGTGCAACACTCAGAGTTGAGTAGAGTATCCAAAAAATTGTACTCAAGTAAGAGTAGCACAACTTCAACATATTTTTACTGAAGGTAAAAGTAAAATGTAGCCGTCCAAGTTACTGAGGTTAGAAAATGAAAGTATTTAATAAAAAGGCTGCTCAAGAGTCACTTAATATTTAAAAATTACATAATCAGACACACCAAAATATAAATAATGTAGAAATGTTTGTATTTTAAGGGGTCAAAATAAAAATACTCACAAAATGACAAAATTAGACAAAAAAAAACATTATTCCAAATAACTGTTTTTAAATATAAAACTTATGAAACTAACAAAAACTGCAGGTCTGTGTCTGGGGAATTTTTAGTGAAAACAAACTCAAACAAATTTTACTCAAATAAGAATAGTGACACTTCATTATGAATTTACTCAAGTCAAAAGTAAAAAGGATAATAAAGGTAGTAAAAAATTACTCATAAAAGTGCACTTTTCCAAAAAAAAAATTACTCAAGTAATTGAGTAAATGTCACTAGTTACTCGTTAACATTGCAGCGACGTTAGCTGGAGATGCGAGAAGGAAAGAGGAGGAGGAGGAAGAAAAGATGACTGCCAGTCCGTCCCACTCCCGGTGAGTACAAATGCAGCCCAGAAAACTTCAGCTTTCATACCTCAGCTTTTCACACACACTCAGAGAGAGAGGCGTGCTCTTTCACGTCACACACACCCATCTATCCCAACCCGCAGAGGCACCGGGAATCAGAGCGGAGCGAGGAGATGCCACCGGCTGGCAGACACTGAGTAAGTCCGCTCTCCCTCCTCTCTTTCTCGGCCGGGTCTCTTTTGTTGTGTCATGGCGGCTCCACGGTCCGTCCCAGCTCATTTACCGCTCGCCTCGCGCGCCTCTCCGCCGCTCTCAAACGGCCACTGTTAGCTCAGACTGAGGGACTTTTCAAAGTTTATCCCCTCTGTATGCAGGGCACACTTGCCTCTCTCTTCTCCTCCCTCCTTCCCTTCTTCTCCCGCGGCTTTCTTCTTCTGTCCCCTCCAAGCCAGAGAGGCAGGAGAAAAAAGAAAAAGAAACTCCTGCACTAATTAGCATGTGAGCGCTGAGCCACAGGTGGATGTTTTAGCTTAAATGACAAATTTAAGTCAATCGAAATACAAAAACGGGTGTTTGCTTTCAAGCTTTTAAAATCAGGCAGCCTTAAATTGTCTTGGTCATAAATAATACAGTTTTAGTGCTCTTAGAGATTAGGCATGGAGTGGAATGATATAAATAACATTTTACATGAAACTTCAAAGCGATCTGACTGCTTTTCTTTGAAGCAGCAATTACACTGCAAAAACACAAAATCATACCAGCCGATTTTAGTCTAGCATGGTCTTAAATAAGACAATTAACTTACAAGTAACTTTTTAGCGTGATATCGGAGCTCGTTATAAGTCAATAATTCATTAATATTAGTGAAAAAGTACTAGCTACATGTGAAACAAGTAAGCCAGTGGAATAAGACATTTTAACTTATAATACTGGAAAAATGTCTTGTTCCACTAGCTGATTATTTAACTTAAAATGAGTGCTTTTCCTTTAATTTTCATGAATTATTTGTTTAAAACAAGCTCCTATATCTTGTTGAAAAATTACTTGCAAGATAGTTTAGTCTTATTTAAAGTGTACTAAGATATTTGCACTAGAAACGCGTCCGAAAATAGTTGGTAAGATTTTGTGTTTTTGCAGTGTATTCCTTCTGTTGCTAAAATAATTGAATTACAGCTGTTTAAATGCTATATCTTTACTAATTTCTATTTTGACTATGTTGTGCAGACTTTTACAGACATATATATGGTTAAAATATTTATTTTATTGTAATGGTTGAGTAAAATGCATAAGCCAGCTGGGTGGCAGTGCACAGAAATGCTGTAAACAGTTGGAAAATGTATAATTTTAATAGCTTTTATTGTTTCATAGCCAACACCTTTCTGCAGTGGGACGTTTCACACCGACCACGTTCATGTTAATAGATCTGGATCGGCTTTGACAACCAGTGATTTACGATCGCCTTCCTGCATTCGACCTCTAGTCTGCTGTTAAGAAATATGATTATATGACTCCAGTAAATAGCATTTACCAGCAGGAAGTGGCATGTTTCGGTTTGATCGTAATCTCTCATATATCATGAGAGTTAACAGGGGCCAACCCAGGATCGGAGCCATAATCAATGGGAACGGGGTGTAATGCAAAGTTTACTGAAAAAGATGTATAATAAATTTAATTATGTGTTAGACAGGGAGACTTTTATGACTGGATTGGTTTTAGTACATGGGCTTGAAATGATTTGTTTATGGGGATAAAATTGGAAGCAGAAAGCGATGAAATTGCAAAGTGTGTGTGCAAAATATGAATATAAACTATTAAAGAGGCAAATTGACTTTATCAACTCTCTGAAGACTTTCAGACACAGAAAATGGGGAGTTTCTACACAGAAAAAAATTCAACTATATTTAAAAAAAAAGATAAATACTTTTTGCCCATTTAAACAAATGTGCAAATTCATTGTAAGCTCTCAATTTTTTCATCTTTGATTTTTTCTTTCTTACTATGAAACGATATTGCCCCCAGCCTCCTCCACAAGTGTAGATTGGTTAATAGTTACCACAGACTCGAACCCTATTGGCTGTTTGGTCGGGTATTTTTCAAAAGTGCTTGCAAGACCGAGACTGCCTTTATTGACACACACACACATACACGCACACACACACACACAGCAAGAGAGAGGTCAGGGGCAATTCCTGGTTTTTTTTTTTTTTTTTTTTCAACTTGTGGACTTCCTGACTGGAAGAGAGCCCCGGCGTCACGTGGGTCGATAAGGTGCAAACAACAAAAAAAAACAAGCATGTCTGTTGAAATGAATTATTGAACAGGGTTCTTGTCTCAGTGTCTGTTACTCACAGATAATGTGGAGTCATTAGCACCCCACCCTGTGAGTGTGTTGACATACTGAACCTGCCCCTGTTTGCCTTTCAGTGTTTAGAAACTCAGCAGCATTCCCTGCTACACACACACACATTTACTTGTGTGGCAGAGGGGACATTATTTGCTTGGGTCCCATTGTGACCTGCCAGCCAAAACAAAATTGAATGGAGAGGGACTGAACAATGCAGCCGATCTAATCTCTCTGTCTCTCCAACATTCACAGCAAAGGCAACAAGTCTTGAAGGCCAAAACTGATCCGGATACTCCAGACCTCCACGTCCAGAGAAACACAACTGACGAAGGAGACCACTTCTTCCTCCTCCTCCTTTTCCTTCCCCGATCCGAGGGAACTCGACTCAGGAAGAAGCGACTGCAGGACGGACAGAGAGTCAAGATGCTGGCTCAGATCCTCAAGGAGATGTGGGTGGACCCCGAGGTGCTGGAGGCGCTCAGCGAGGAGCAAAAGAGGGTCCTGTTTCTGAAGATGAGAGAGGAGCAGGTACGGCGCTGGAGAGTGCGTGAGGAGAAGGAAGAGAGAGAAGGAAGGACCAACAGGAACACAAAGCCCAAGAAAGGTATGGAGCGCAGCACTCCTTATGTCGTACCTGTTAGACTGGCAGGGGGAGAGCTCATAATTTAATTCCAGTAAACTATACTGAGCAAGAGTTATTGTCAATAATACAAAAAGAATGAGGCATTAACAGGTGGAGCAACATTTTTTGCTGGGTGTTTTTTTGAGACGTTTGAAGAAGTTGGCGCTAATTTAAAGCAACAGATGGTTCTCTTTCACTTAAACTCAGGAAAGCAACTGTTTAATTTAGATCAGGCACTTCATAGACCCCACGTCTGCTTATCTTGACACCAGACTGAAACACTTTGACATGCATGATAGTTGTAGTTTTAATGAAAGGTTAAATAATCGCCAATCCACCACATACAGCACTAACAATGAGAATTAGCATCCAAATAAATGGTCTTTTGAAGCCAAGTGTTTTCACTAAATTGATAAGTCCTTACTTTAAACAATGACCTTCCTTCAATGAATCATGTTATACTTATATATTTAGAAAGTGACTTTATGACAAATACTTCAATTAGTGTATTCAATTAAATCTGACAGCTAGCTTTATACATTTTTAAGCTAGCTAAAAGTAAATCTGTTTTGACTTTGAAAACAGATTGCTGAACTTATATATACTTGTTAGTTTATTTCTTAGTTTGGTCTGAATAACAATGTTTTGTCAGCTGTTATTCAGTTTTCCAGTCTAAGGTAAAGCTACATTATGAGATGCCGCTCTGCAGTAACTAGCTACAGTTAGCAAAAAGGCTGCAATAGCCCGAAAATGGCTGAAAAATACATCAATTTAACTTAAAACTTAGTTACTATTTAAGACATTTTAGGGTTCAGAGGGTAACCACTGACAACAAAATAGCCGTTTTTATAATTTCTCCATCCATCTATTATTTATAATATTTGGGTGCAACAAACAATCTATAGGTATGTTGTGAAGACGACACTTGTAGGCTGTTTTACAAATAATTAATTCTGTAATCTTCTAAACTCAAAGTGTGCACAAGTAATGAAGCAGGAGTTGTGTCTCTAAGGTTACCAATCAAATTAAGTGTTTGGGTTTTTTTCAGCCTGTGTTTTAGTCATTAAACCCAGCCCTCCTTCATTAGAAGTGCTGATCTATCTTACAAAGACGCTGTCATCTTAACTAGTTCAGCTGCACAAAGGGAGTGTACTTACAGTGTGTGTGTGTGTGTGTGTGTGTGTGTGTGTGTGTGTGTAACTGAAAGCTGTGTGGGCTGAAAGCTGAAGAAGATTGAGTAAACCCTGTGGTTTCGGGAGTCGCCACGCTTTAGACCACATATCAAGTTACCATCTTTGTTTACCCAATCTCTGCCATGTCACCTGAGAGGAGAGTGTGTGTGTGTGTGTGTGTGTGTGTGTGTTAGCATTGCAGAAGATATGCTCCACTTACACGTCTTTACTGATGGGCTTCAACGGGTTCATTTAGGCTTATAAATGTCACTACGACACTGTTAAACCTATTCCTGTCACTAAATATACAGATTCTAAAAGGCGTTTAGGTCGCTGTAAAAAATCCATGTTTTTGTGTTTTAAAAAAATTTAACCATGATAAATAATTTAAAAACTTTTATCTCATTTAATGGGTGAATTCATCCCATACAATTTAACTGAAAGACAAAATTCTGCTCGATTTCAGTGTTCAATCTTCCTTTGTTGCAGTTGGTTGTATTCTCTACCCAGAAGAAATTCTCCAGATAGATCATGTTGCGAAGACAACCCCTTGTCCACCATCCCTCAGATTATTTTAAATCAACTTTAATCCTGACCTTTACTTCAACAAGTCCAATAATGTATTTTCTGTTATGAATTTGCAGGGGGGAGAATAAAAATGTCCCTCCATCTTTTGCTTTTTACTAGATATTTGTTAAATTGGGGTCCAAACTGATCTTTAGAGCTGTTAATGGTTGCGTCTCAGGTCATGATGCTGCCACTGCCGTGTCTGAAGGTTTGGTGTCCTTTCAGAGGTGTGCTGTTGTTTATTGAGATGAGATTATTGACAGGTTTGAGATTACTCTGGATACTTTACAATCTCTCCGCTAGGTATTGAATGAAAATACCCGTCAGGAAAATAAATACAAGAATAAAGTCAGAATATTTTGAGGATAACGTAAAAATATTTCGAGATGTCATACGAGAATAAAGACTATATAATACAAGAATAAATTCAAAACTACAAGAATAAACTTGTATGAGTATGAAATCACAGTAGTCAGAAGTCGTTTGAATATAAAGTTGAAATAATACGAGAACAAAGTTGTAGTATTACCAGAATAAGTTATTACAAGATTAAAGTCACAACATTGCAACTTTATTCTGGAAATACTATCAAATAATACTAACTTTTTTAATTTGAGTTTTAAAGTAGTATAATTTTAGTCATTTTTTCTTTTTTTCTGGTAGTATTGCCAATATAAAATCATAATATTGTGACTAAATTTTCACAATACAACATTATTCTGATAATGAACTTTATTCTTGTACAACTTCTCTTATTCTTATACAAGTTTATTCTTGTAATTTCTTTATTTTTTCTTAATTCTTGGTCCTGTTCCATTTTTCCTGCTGATAGTAACAAAGGCAGTGGAAAAGGCCTCTCCTATCTGACTGATACAAACTGAGTAACATGACCCCAGCTGCCCACATGGAGATGTGTTTACACGCAGATTTATGCCTGTAGTGACGTCACACAATGCCCCCTTGTGCGCGGCGGTGAGAGAAACACGGCCTCCTTTGTGGAAATCTGCGTTCAGAGCTCATGTGACCGTCACTTATGTGTCCCTGATGATAACATATCGCTCTATGTGGCCTTTTAAACCGCGTTTCGGTTGGCAGACGGCGCAGCGCCACGTTCTGGGTTTGAATTTCTGTAGCCACGCCCCCGTCTGTGACGTCACGACAGGTTGTTTCGTCTTCATCCGTGGAGTCATGGAAAACACCTGGGCTATCGCTCATTGTGACGGGTGGCTTATTTTTAAACACTGCGTCACGATAAGGGAAAAATTGGACGTTGTTTCTCCAGGGTGTGACTGAGATGTTTATAAAGTTTTTAAAAGGAAATTGTAACGTATGTTTTATTTACTTAAAATAGCTGTGAAACATTTATTTAAAAAGGCCTTCAAGAAACACCATGGGCTTTTTCTTTTTTTTTTTTTACTACCTCAGGTTCAATTTTGTTGTGCATTACATTTTATATTAGAAAACTGGCAATTAACTCAAAGAATAATAAAGCTAAATATGTAACACCAGGATGACCAAACAATGTATTGTCATAGTCGGTTTAACTGAATTTATCCTTGTGCGACAGCACCACCTGCTGGCTGAAATCAGCTGTTGAGAGGTCTGCTTCAGGCAGAACCTTGCTGAGTGTCTTCAATTTTGGGGTGTAGAAAAATAAATGAACCACTTTTTAAATTTTTGTTTGTGTCTCTTTGTTTCTAGCTTCCAGTAAACAAGTGAGCTGGCTCCTCAGTAGGGACGGCGATGTGAGCGTGACTATAATTGGAGAAGTGGATGAATTTAGGTCCTCCAAGGTTCTGCAGAACCACATGAACAGGTAGAAATAGAAAACTCTCCCAATCATCTATGAATGCAAAGGACAGTAAAAATGTAAAATAACAAAAGAAATTTCTTTCTAAAATAACGTGATTCTAAGCCAACAGTTGTAATATTACCCGTTTTGCTATGTGAGGTCAAAATATTTATCTGTGAGCTGGGAGGTCTGCAGAAACAACAATGGATATCTTTCTCTTACAGACTCCTCAGTGATAACAGGAACTGCATCCAGACGGCGGACCTGCTGCCAGGAAGTGATGCCCAGCAGCTCAGCATCAAAGACGACGCCAAGCTCCCTCTCACAGATGTTAATGTGAGTCCCCCTCCGTGCGAGTTTGTATGTGGGAGGCGGGTTATACAAAAACGGCCAACGCGTTGGATTCTGATCAGCATATCCTCAATCACACGCAGGAGGATCCAGGTTCACCAATCAACCAGTCATCTGAGGAGGAGGTGGCGGACTGCAGCACTGATGAGGACCCGAAGGACCCCGACGACGACAGCTGCAGCAACTCGGAGAACGTTATTGAGCTGAACCTCGTCTACAGGCCGCATTTTCGTAAAAGCCTGTTCCTACGAAGCCACCAGTCAGAACCAAAGAGAGTCACTCCACAGGACGGAGGTGAGAGAAGGATAATTCATGCCTGTAGGAGCGGAAATATGCAGTGCCTCGCTAAAGTGTCCATACCTCTTGAACATCTTCACATTTGTAGCTACAAACTTCAAGGTATCCCATTGCCAAATAGCTTGTCACTAGAAAGATCCAGTGCTCAGGTGGGAGAATCTGTTGACAAAACAACCACTTCTAGTCCATATAAAGTTGCCACAATATACAGTGAATGTGTGTGGATGAAAACACTGCAAAATGAAATCTAATGTTATATGTAGGAAGAGTGCCACTAGTCACTCAAACAATATGAAAGGAGGTGCTCAGGTTAAACAAAATTCTAACTTTCACATCATACTGAACACACCATTCCAACAGTGAGACATTCATTGATTTAAATACAGGTCAACCCTAGAAGAAACCCATTACAGCAGGAGTCTCAGTGTCATCACAATCATATCAAATAATTAGGTCATTAGAAGGGCAATATGGAACCTGATTAACAGCCAAAGCTGCCTGGTCATTGCCTTCTCACGCAAATCTTCCTTCAGTGCCCATCGGAGCTTTTTCCCATTTATTTGGATTCTTCCTGTAGTTTTTCTACTGGTCCAATCAGTGAGCAGATGTTGAAGTTGTGAACAATGACATCAATTTTCTGTGCCGACTACTAAACTGTAGTCTGCTTGTAGTTTTAGCAATGACAGCGGAGGAAGTGAACAATGCTGTTCAGTCGGTGTTGGTCACACTTCAAAATATTGAATTAACACAAACAGCCGCCTCATTTGGATCTCAGAGGAGGATTCTTTATAGTGCAGGCAATTTCTGGTTAGCTTCATAGCGTCAAACTGGCGCATTATATACGTCCTGACCAAACATTAGCGATTAGGTAACATTTAAAACTTTAACAGAGGCCACGGCTCCAGGAAGCGATGTTTCTCAATATTCAATATCACAGATGCTCTTTACGAAGCAAAGCATAGAACAAGGGGCTGGTTGCAGTCAGGCTTAAGCTAATGAGGCTACAGACGATTAAGGTGTGGACGACAATGGATATACCAGTCTTAGGCTTAGAGGCTACAAAAGTATTGACCCTGGAGTGAAGGTTCACCTTCCAACAGGACCCTAAATATATAGCCAAAGTTACAGTAGAATATCAAATTAAAGTCTAGACCAAAATCCAAATGAAATTCGGATGCAAGACTTGAAAGTTGTGCCAGTCAGTTTGAGTTTGAGTTATTTTTTCAAAAAGAATGGGCACCTTAAACACAAAGACTTGCCACCCTTTGCTGATTTTTATTTGCTAAAAATATAGAAAACCATACATCATTTTCTTCCTCTTTACAATTATACACCACTTTATGTTGGCCCATTGCATAAAGACCCTATGAAAACATTGAGGTTTGTTGAAATTCGAACTCTACCAAGGTTATGACTATTCTGCTCAGTTCTTCCTCATCTACCGTAACTGAAATTTCTTAGTCAAAACCAACAGAGGAATAATTCCTGTAACTCTTCTGATCTTTCTCTCTCTTTTTTTTTCCCTTCAGAAACTCGGTGGCGCAGAGAGACGTCAGAAAACGAAGGTCGCGTGCCTGATCTCAAGAAGGCGTTTGCGGACGATGCCTGCAGCAAACCACCCGCCTGCAAAAAACCCCCCATTCCTGTCAAACCGGCTCATCTACAGAAAAGCAGCACGGCGCTGGTCCATTAAGAAGCCACTGTGTCTCCACCCTGCCGTACGTCAACACACCCGACCCCTGAGGAGTGGGAGCTGACGCAAACGCCGCAGCTCATTTGTACTCCTGCTTGAGGACCCGAGTGGGGGATAAATACACTGCAAAAAAAAAGTTAAAAAAAAAAAAAGGACAGATGGAGAAGCATCTGTGGAGGGGAGCGAGACTGTGTACTTAATGGGGGAAACTGAAATTCAGACTCTTACATTTTCGCAGAGTCTGATCTCGATGCAGACACTGAGGGGGGACATGTCCGTAGGACGCAGACACAAACACACTGCTGAATGGAAAAACACAGTGGTTTTATACTGGGATGACCTAGGGTGAAGTTGGAAACCGAAAAGCGTCAACCAGTCACAAATATTCATCCATGTTCATATGAGCTCTGGACTTTCTTTTCAGCAGATCCTGGGAATGAAATGACACAAATGGACTCAGTGAAACGGACTTCTTGTACCTTTATCCTTAAAGGGATTTTAGACAATTTAATTATACATCTCAACATTCACATGGGAACGCTCCCTTGCACTCGTTCACTGACAAGCACTGACCTGCTCGTCAAGAGCCCTTGAGGCTCCAGATAAATTGCTCAAGAACTCGTCCAAGTGTTAGCACAAAACCACTGAGCAGTTTCTGGACAGCAACGCCTCTTTGCTGATTCATATTTCATTCTCTATTGCAAATGGCTTAATGGTTCACGTTTGAGCTGCCACTCAACCACAAGGGAAGTTGTTTAATACAAGGTTAGCAAGAAACTGTCTTAAATCTCACTATCTTCTAACTCTCCCAACACGAGTTTGGCTACTCTGTCAATTTCTGAATTTAGCCCAGAAAATATGTCAATACGTTGGCCCGATTGATCAACTCTAAACATCTTTTCAACCACATTATTAAAGAATAGACGTCTTTATGTGTAACAAGTTTCAACTTTAACTTTTCAACCACATTTTACTTATAGAGAAAAGGTCTTTAAAAAAAAAAAAAGAAGAAGAAAAAAACTTTCAATAGGATGTCCATTTCTCTGAATTTGCTCAGTGGGGAAATTTTCAGCAGCACTTTAGATATTGACGTTTCCAAATAAATATTACTGCTTTAAATTTGCACCTTCTTGTGTTGAGCCAATCAACACGTAAGCAAGCTATGACGGAAAATGCGATTTTCTGGATGTGTTAGCATGCTAACGCTAGTATTAAGTGTTGGCTAAATGATACAGAAGGGCTGAGAAGCACAAAAGCATGTGAGAATGGTTAAAACTATACAAAATTACCATAATAAAGTGGACATTATCGATTGGAATACATGCCCGAGGATGCCTATATGTGAAACAAGAGGAAGCCTACATATTTTGCTCAGCCATCGTCATATGTTAGCATGCTAACGCTAGCATTAAACGGCGGCTAAGTGATACTTTGGGAGGCACAAAGGCATGTTAGCATTGTTAACACAGGACAAACCTTACACAATGAAGTTGACTTTATAGACTGGAATACATGCCTGAAACAAGACGAAACTTACATATTTTGCACTAGGATGGCCTGAAGCTTGTGCTGCCTGATGAGATCTCTTCCACATCTTCTTGAATTCTTGGGCTATTTTCAGTGTTTGTCTCAGGTGTGGCTACCACAAGCACAGTTTAAATCGTCAGCATCATTAACAAAGAGACAGTTGTGCTGGGGTAATAAAAAGGAGCTCAGAAAGAGAAGCAAACCTGTTTGCATTAAAACTTGTTGGATCTTTAAGCTCATGATACCTGCTTGTTGTCATCCACTGAGAAGGATTTTTGTCTTATAAGAAACTCTAGTCTCTATGTATTAAGGTGCAACGTTTTGTTTTAATCCTGAACACCCACGTGTCATACAGCTGTGAGTCAGACATCCGTAATCACGTGCTGGTGCGAGCACAAGACATGAGACCTCCGAGCCAGTAGGGTGCCCCAGAGAGCTCACGACTTCACGTACAAACTATAATTATCTGAAACCTCAAAATTTGTAGTCAGATTTTAAAAAAACAAACAAACAAAACAACTAATTGGGGGTGGTAGAACAGGTGTTCCAAAGGGTGAAGCTACAGTTCTGTTTATTTTACATTTTAAAAAATGGAAAATTTAATTCCTATCATCCAAGAAAAAAATTGCTTCTTGTAATTTTTGTCATAACATGTTTAGTACATTCTGTACAGAGTCCAACAGAACCCTGAGGGTGGACACCGCCATAGTCCATCAGATATTAGAAGCTGTGAAAAACATGAAGCCACACAGAACAGAAGCAAGAGTCTTAGTATTTTATGGTTTGTTTGAGATGTAGTTACTACCTAACTTGTGGGTCATGTGTTCACTTTACTTGGTCACCAATTGAATCCCTGCTCATGCTGACTCTGCTGACTGTTTCTTTTCTTCTTTTTTTTTGTATTATAACCAAATGTAAGCATTTGTACTATTTATCTGTTGTCTATGTGGAAAAAAAGGAACAAATTATAAAACGTTGAATTTATGCTGTGAGTTTTTTCCTTCTTAGATTTATATTTTTAGATAGATTCGACAGCAACGAAGTTGAGTTTTATCAGTGATTTGCACAGTGATTATCTATTCAGCGGGATGCATCAGAAAAGCGCCTGGTGGAGATCAAACGGACGGCACGGAGAGCTGATTAGCATGTGGTTTGGGCTGAGACAGAGGCCGAGACGCTTGGGGAGACAGAGCAAATGAGAGTCTGGTCACGGGAAGAAAAACGTCACACTCAACTCAATAAACCTCACCGCATTCCCTCACCTCCTCCACGCCATCAGCCCGTGTGTGTGTGCGTGTGTGTATGTCTGTGCGTGTGTCTGTGTGTGTGTGAGAGCGTGTCTATCCACCCATATATCTTGAATCATGTGACTTAACACAAGTAGTCATGCACACAGTGTGAAAAGCCCCGCTATATATAGTAGGACAGTGTTGGGTTTCCCAGCAAAGCATTGTAGAAGTCGCTTCATCTTTGTTCTCTCAGAAAGTGCCCGTTATCGACTTCTTGTAATGCAGTCGGCCCGCTGTAGGTGGTTCAGGTCCATGGATGCTAGCTGGGGTTAGCAGGTAGCTGGAAAAATAAATGGTAGATTCTTTCATTTTCACCGTTGGGACAAAGAAGGCTGAATACAAATGCACACCACACTTTTGAGATTTTTCTTTTGGAAAAAAAACCCATAAACGTTTTATTTTACTTTCACTTGACAATTATCCACTGTTTTGTGTTAGTCTAACAAAAATCTTTGTCACGTAAGAGTAAGGGATGCTTTGTAACACAATATAATAACTTAGGATTAGCAAAGCTACTTTTTAAGTCACATTTAGGGAAATTTCCTCACTTAGCCCGGCATATTCCTCTTCTTCAATAAGTGATTAATAAAGACATTTATGCAGCTTTTTAAAGAGCAAATTCCATAAACGGTTGAGTGAAAGATTTGAACTGAAATTGCCTCATTCAAATATGATATAGCCAGTCACGGTAATTGGCCTTGAGAGTGTCTCGGCTGTGACAGTTGTTGTGGGAACCGAATGAGGGTTAAACAGACAGAGAGAGAATCGGCAGAGCAGAAACTGGCAGCAGCTTTGAAAAGCATGCCAACAAAGGGAGATTAAATCACTAGTAATCAGCCATTAGGTGACTGAATGGTCCCAGGTTGCAGAATAATTTATTCAAATGTCGTTTAACATCTTAAGTGACTTAAAAAGAGGGTAAAAAAAAAAAAAAACCTCAGTTGAGGAAATAGTGCAAATTTGTCCTTGTCGTTTTACTTTAACTGCTGAACTCGGTCATTGAAACCATGTAATTAGGATCGCAAGATTTTAATGCAGACACTATGCTGCAGTTAGGAGCTCATTATTTCAGGCTATGGTATTAATTAACTGGACTTTGGACTTGTTTACTGAACAAGGTAGAAATCTGTCTATTCTGGCACGTCTTTAATAACGGGGGAAATGTTTTGACTTGCTGTCAATCCAGGATTTTTAATTGTATTTAGTCAAAAAATGAGCTCCATCATTAAACAACTTCATCTAAATTAATCTTGTAAGAATTCATAGACTTTTGGCAATTGTGGGATGCAGCCCTTCAATAAACATCTTAAAAAGAGATAAAAATCTAATTACTTTGCAGAAATAGATAATGTTATGATTTTTGTAGATTACATTCAACTGGTGTAAATTAATGACACTGCTGAAGTTAGCTTTAAGTTCGAGTCCCATGTTAAGTTTGTCTGTTGTGCTAATTAGCAGCTGTTAGCATGCTAACACGACTAGCAAACATGACTTGACAGCTAGCTAACCTGCTGAATGCAGCAAGTTAGCATTCTGTTAATGAGCTCAGTTTTGTCTTAAATACCTTGTATTTATTTATTTATTTTTTTTACAATTTAACTTTGGCTTCAAAATTAAACTCAAAGAGGAAAGTATCATTTTGTAAATTGAATTGAGAATAAAAAAATACATATGATTTATTATTTTCACATATTTAGATTCTCCTTAACTTTTCTTTTGCTGCTGGCCAACAACACACAACACATCACATCTCATGTCTTACATCACAGCTTGAGACTGTATGCGATGCCAGTTACCCACTGTTAGCATGCTAACACTGTGCTAGCTTCCAACAGCTGACATATACTTGCTGACATTATACTTGCATTCTGACTTAAGGGTTTCATTAGACAACTAATTAAGTATTAACTTTTTGTTTTTATCTACAATTTGTTTTAAGATTTTCTTCAATATATTACATATTCTCAATGTAATTTAATGCCAACAACATTTTTCTCAGCTAATTTAGATCAACAGTTGAAGATTATTGGTAAAAATATACCTATAGCAGATTAATTTATTAAAATGTAACGTTAAACACCTCGCCAGGTTCAAACTGTTGTTGAAATGCGTAGTGAAAGAGTGTTCCTGCTTAGTAACGCCGGGGAAAACGTCAGCTCAACATCATGAGGTGACTTCCAGACAAGCCATGATGAAACATCCCTGCAGCCAGCAGGTGTTATCGCTTTGCTTTAACTTCCTGGAACCGTCGTGCCTTTTTAAAAAAATGAGCAGCGGGCTAAAGATTAACAGATTTCTGCGTACCCATCATCACCAAGAATAAATGCGTCTCTCTCTCGCTCGCTTTTTTTTTTTTTTACGTTTATCTCCCTTTTTTTCTGCTACGGAAAGCAGCCAAACAAGACAAACCCAGTGTTGTTCGAGATTTCAGCATATTCTGTATCCACCTTTAACAGATTTAAGTGTCAAAGGTCAAGAGACCCCCTTTGACCTCTGTGTCACCAAAATATCACCTTAGGGCCAGATGAGCAAGAGCTTTATTTTTTCGCAGGGATGTAAGAAGGCCATTGTGTGTGTTGGGAGTTAGCTTGAAGAATAAAACCGAAAAAAACAACAACACACAAACGGACGGAAGAGGCCGGCTGCCGTGAGGCAGTGAGAATACAACCAGAGGAGGAGAAAACACACACACACACACACACACACACACGTTCACAATGAGACAGTGTCTCAGCGAACTGCTGTGGCCAACATTTCAAAGGACTGGCTCCTGAGTGAGGGTCCGCCCAGCAGCAGTGCAGGTTGCCTTGGGGCTGGCAGGTTGCTCCACTGCAGTGTGTGTGAAAGAGAGCGAGAGAGAGAAAGAGAG